TACCCAACAGAAGAGTCAGATGATTTTTCTGAAATTCTTGGAAATTCCCTACTGCTTGGGCTTTTTTTTTTTCGCCCGAGCAGCAAAACCACAAATCGCTTCGGGTCATCATATCGAATTTCATTCTGACAGCTGTTCACATTCCTAGTCAAACATATGTCAGGGTTTTTAGTTAACAAGAAAAACGTGGGCGCTCATGGGCAATGACCTCTCTATTTTAAAGTCCATGAGAAGAGTGGAATGAGGAAGTTTTTGTCCCTTCAAGGTCATATACCTGACCAATCCTTAGCTCAGACTTCGATCCAAGGCAGATTCGGACCCTTTGGATACAGCAACACCTTCCTACGCTTCCTAATTACTGGAAAATGTAAATGGGAAGTGAACCAGAAACTCTTGGATTTCTAGTCGTGCTTTGACTCCACTGGTGCACTGTGAATTATGTGGCAGCATTCTGAGAAGAGCTGTTATCCGTAGTAAGACAGACGTTTTTTGAGCGAGCTAAAAGTCTTGGTATTCGTATCAGGAAATTGTTCTTCCGGAGACATTCATCAGGTCAGATTTCTCTTTGGAGCTTGATTAGATATTAGGTCCCAGAATGAATGATATTAGTAGAGCCAGCAGAAAAAAAAACTGATGAAGTGAACTTTTTCTTCATTACAGGCTCCAGAAAACTGTTGATTTCAGACTTTCAAAGCATTCCTTCCCTCTTTATGGGCTAAAGATTCCTTTTAAGGAAAATTTACTTATTGAGTAAGCTCGATACTAGACTGACTACGGAACGTGGCACCTGTATAAAAAGCGTCAAGCTGCAGCTGGGACAGTCCCTGGAATCGGTTATAGACGTACCAAGACCTTGTTATGTTCGTTACAGGTCGTCGGACTCCTATGAGCCGTTACGAGAGTTCGATACGAGAGTTCAAGTACCACACGATATGCTGTATGGATAGGGTGCACATATAAATGCTTTTAGTATCCGGGTACAGTCAAAAGCATGGCGTATTCCGTAAGGAACGACGAGCAAAGCGTACAAATACTCTTCACGAGAAATGCACTTCTATAACCCACTAGCTCCTTCTCCTTTGACGGAGCTCCATCCTGTTCATCTCGGTCCAATCTGCAATTAGGTGGCCCCAGCAATAAATGACTACATCTGATATAGATTTCTTCTCAGACTTGCCCATTTTGAGCTTATGGTAATAGCTGTTTCGTGACGATACTGTGTGGTTAGACGACATATTTATGGAAATCCTTGGACTGACATATGTCTGGCACTCCCTATGGACATATGGAGCCACTCTTATACGGAATAATTTTTTCATCGAATGCTTCCTTCCCGGTCCCATGTTTTCAGTCAGGTCATATCAGTTTTCAGTCTGAAAGCTCCAACGAACCCTTCATTTCCAGTTCAAGGCCAAAATTAGCTGATACGCTCTGGCGGGGAGTTGTTCAAAGATGAGAGGGCAACAAGTTGGCAACAGCAGCTGCCGATCAAAAATCACAAACCCTCACGAGAGTGGTTGCGTGGCGGTGGCACCGGAAACCCCTTAGGCCGAATAGCTCGTGAATATTGTTTCGAAAATAAGTACTCTGAAGTGTAATTATGAGG